TTTTTTTTTTTTTTCTTTCTTTCTTTCTTTCTCTCACGGGCTGCTGACTTGCACCCAAGCTCTATACATATATATATATACATGGGACCTGGACGGCGTAGAGATGTACATATACATGTTACGAGCTGTAAATCCATACGCGGGAGCTTGCGGCTGTATAATAACGTTGCACGGGGCTGGGGATGGTTCTTTTTTTCACGCGGATTGTTATAATAATTGGAGGGCCAGAGCGCGCGGGCATCAGAGGCAAACGAGAGAGCGTTTATTATTAAAAAAAAAAAAAAAAAAAAAAAAAAAAAAAAAAAAGAATAAACTGAAAGACACAACAACAGCAAATAACACGCTGAAATAAATGTTGTTAAAAAAAAAAAAAAAAAAAAAAAAGGCAATGTGCCCTCGTGCGTGCTGCGCGATGCTTAGGCGCTTTCCGATTGAACCAATGTGCGGCAATTTTTCCCAACAACGAGCCCTCCCTCTTTTTTCCCAGCTCTCCGGGTGTATGGATAACGAGCGGCTCTAATGCGCATGCAAATTAATGAAATAACTCCATCGGGGGGCCAAAATGGAGAAAGAATCCAATTAACTGCTGGAACATGGCCATCTACAATGGGGCTTGCGCGGGTGTGTGGGTAAAATAAAAGCTTTTCGCGATAAAAGGTGGGTCTTTTTTTTTTATATTGCCCATTGCCTAAGCTCTCTCCTGCCCTGCACGTGTAATGATAACAAATATGGTGAACGTAATATAACGTAATATTACGTACGAGTTTGAGAGGAATAATAAAAGAAACAAAAATCAAGTGCAATCGAGGTGTGCGCGAACAATATATATATAAATTTTTTTTTTCCTCAGGGACGGTACTTACATCCAGCTGTACGCATCTTTGTATAATATAGCTTTCGGTGCCGGTGTATGCTTGCATCTTAACCCCCGACAATTTTCCCTTCCCCGCCACCCCTTATCTCGGTTTTCTTTCTTAAGTGCCGGCCAGACTCTGGAGTGGACCCCCCCCCCTCTCGCAGCAGTCGGCTTTTCTTCTCCCCCCTGTGGATGAATGCACTGTTGTGTATATCTGCATACTTGCAACTACGGTGTACGTCTCGTGTACATACATTCACGGTGAGCGCGAGTACAACACACCTGCCGGGCAACCCTTTTTCGTTCACGAGTGAAAAATTTGCGGCGAGTCGCAGTAGCGTGTGTATATCATGGGCGCACTCACCCGATGGTCTTGAAATTAATGAGGTGGCCTGGCTGTGTATACACATATATTGCACGCTCTTTGCTTGAATTTTTCATTGATGAGCGGTATGAACGAAAGATTATACGCTCAATGGCGGGAAAAACGTGGTTTTCACGAATAATATATATATATATTATAAGTTCTAGGAAGACTTTTCCTTCGAGTGTGTGTAGGTACTCTAAGGTTTCCTGGAAACGTGGAAAATCAACATCCGAGGATCGAGGGATATAAAACTCATGTGCACAAGCACAAAAGGGGCTGGGGTTATACGTACGCGTGACTGCACAGGTTTTTCCGTGCAATATTTCGTTTCACGAACTGCTTTGCGATGGCACGGCGTCACTTACGTACCTGTACCGATTTAAAAAAAAAAAAAAGATTTAATTACTCGTTTTCAAACGCGAATCAAAGGGAGGCTATATAGACGATGCGAAAACCGAGTGGGCGCGTCACGGGGCGTGGGGGGGGCGCAAAGTTTCGAGAAGGTATTTGATTTTCGGCTCGCGAGTGGGAGTATGCTTTTTCTTCCTTCCCTTTTTTTTTTTTTTTTTTTTTTTTCATCAGCGTCAAATTGAATTTTCGCCGAGTAAACACCAAATGGCGAATTAACGCAGCAAGATGAGCTAGCCGGTGGTATAGGTACTTTCCTCGCTAAATCACTGCGCGCGAAAGGGGCTTTGCCAAAGAACGCGTATTACCTCCGTGCGAGGCCCACTTTATATATCTGTAAGCCGGTGAAATCTCACTTCTCACCCTCGTGTATAAGGTATTTACTACTACGTCCATCCGCCCAAAGTTGCCCCGCCTCGAGGTTTCCGGAGGATTATTCAATAACAGGAGGGGAATTTCAAAAATTCCCTGATGCGTCTGGTTCATTACACGAAACGACGGCCAATTTTCCGTTTCGTAAAATGAGATCAAGCCAAAGTGTCCGACTCGAGCGATGGGGGGGGGGGGGG